GATACTCAGAGAAGAAAGGGAGAGGTGGCATGGGTAAATTATCTCACAGAAAAAAAAACAGAAAAGAAAAGTCTTTCACAGTGGAGGGGAAACGGGGAAGGTGAGAGGGAATGAGGGAATCTTATTCTCATAGGATTTGGCTTAAGGAGGGAATAACATACACATTCAATTGGGTATGGAAATCTGTCTTACCCTACAGGAAAATAGGGGGAGAAGGGGACAAGAAAGTAGGGGGGTGATAGAGAGGAGGACAGATTGGGAAAGAGGGCAATCAGAAGCAAATACTTCTGAGGAGGGACAGGGTCAAAAGAAAGAATAGAATAAATGGGAAGGCAGGATAGGATTAAGGGAAACAGAGTTAGTTTTTCACAACATGTCTACTAAGGAAGTGTTTTGCATAACTGCACATGTACAACCTATATTGAGTTGCTTGCCTTTTCAATGAGGGTGGGTGGGGAGGGAGGAAGGGAGAAAATTTGGAACTCAAAGTTCTAAAAACACATGTTTTAAAAAAAATTAAAAAAAGAAAATAAAGAAAAAGAAAAAAAAAGAAAGAGATCATTGTGGGTATGGAGAGCCAAGTGACTTTCATAGAAATGAGGCGTGCCTTAAATCAGTGCTTAGGATTGGTTGATTTATCCTGTTGTGAATGGGAAGTCATGGAAAACTGATGAGGTGAAAACTGATTGGGGGAGATGTGGTAGAAGTAATATCAATCAATCAATCAATATTTGTTAAGCACTTACTTACTATATGCCAGGCACTGTGCAAGGCAATGTGGATACAAAAAGAGACAAAAGACAGTCTCTACCTTCAAGGAGCTGGCAATCTAATACGGGATCTGACTATAATAGAGACTTATTTTTCCTAAAAGATGATTAAACCATCCTTTAGATTTAATTGACCCTGGAAACTAAAATTTAAATCATTTACATAGTTTCCTGATTACCTGCAAACAAAAGTGTCTCCTCAGGCTTCTGCCTACTGAATCACCATGGCAAATGCAGAAGCAGGGGAGATGCTCCCAAGTGAATCAGTGCTACCTCCTTGCTAAAAGTCAATTTTCTTATTATAAAGTACACCTCCTTTTGTTAAATGTCAGCTGATCTACAAGTACGTTACTTCTTTCCAGTTTCAGCCCCTGAAATGCCAGAACAGCCCAAGTCAGTTCTGGACTAGAATATTAGATAAATATAGTAATGGTTTGCAGGAGAGATTAGATAGGGATCAGGTGAGAATTAGTAAGTCATTTGGGAGGGCTTTTCAATAGACAAGTATTACTAGGTGACAAGATCCTACATTGGAGTGTTATTGGTGAAACTAGAAACAATAGCTAGCCATGAGAAAAGGTGATGAAGGAAGCATCAAAGGAATTTGGTGATGGCTTTGATATGGAGGAGACAAAGATTACTTTGAGGTTTTGATTCTGTGTGATCAAGAGAATGAAGTACATTAGTAGAAATAGGGAAATCAAGAAGGGAAGCCAATTATTGAGGGGATGGGGGAGATGAAAAATGTACTTTTGGCAGGTTGAGTTTGAGGTGACAGAAAAGATATCTAAATGGAAATATCGGTCAGACAGATGGCTATTCAGTCAGACTATAGGACACATCAGGGCTGAAAATGTGCAGCTTGGGGAATAATTTGAATCCAGGCAGTATTTGAACTGTGTTCTTTTGGGAAGACAGTATAAAAAGAATAGCAGGGGGCCAAGGTCTTTGAAAGACAGCATAATACAAAAGTAACAAAAAGAAAGAGCACTCTAGAAAGTAAAAAGCAGTGAGAGAACACTGCATTTGGAGTCACAGGAAGTGAGTTTGAACCCCACCCCTGCCACTTAGCATCTGTGTAACCTTGGGCAAGTTTCCAAACCTCCCAGTCCTCCATTTCTCCATCTGAAAAATGGGTGAGTTGGACTGGGTGGTGTCTAAAGTCCCTTTCAGCCCTAAGTCTATGATCTTAAGCTCCTGTGACAAAGCCTTGGTGTAGGTATGGCTAAGGTTGTGGGGCTCCATGTAGGAAAGTGGCCAGTGAAGAAGTGATCTCAAAGGAACCAGGATAGTAGAGGATCACTGAGGCCAGTGGCTAAAGAAAAGAGATGCTGACAGCGCTTGTGCTGGAGAGAAGTCAAAGAGAGTGAAGACTGAGAGAAGGCTACCTTGTTCCTAACAGAACTCAGTGGTCCTTCATTATTCTAGTCAGGTAGGGAGAGAGCCCCTCTATGATGTTCTAAAGTCTTCCTCCAAATCAGCCTTAATGCAGAAACTTTGCCTCTTGAAAACAGCCTGAAAAGGGATCAATAATCAATTGTAAATATGAATCCCTTAGCTGAATGATTATTTTAAGTGCACTTGACTGCCCCCCCCCAACCATGGCAGCATAGAATCCTTTACCCCCAAATCTTAGAAACTGACAATCACAACCACTTCAGACTCTATCTGGAGCTGAAAGAGGCTTAGAAATGAATAATTCATAATCTTAAAACTTTCCATTTTCAGGGTAAGGGTAGGTTTTTCCAGATGAGTCTCCATTACCTAAGCCTGTATTATGCAGGCATTAGCCCCCTCCCCCCAACCAAAAAAGGTAATAAACCCATTACTGTTAATTGTGGTGTACAAAGCAATTCACAAGCAGAGATTCCTTTCTTTCCTGAGCTGTTGCAGCTTCTAAGCTTCCTTTCCTTCCATTCATCACTACCAGTAACCTGGGGATTGTGTAGTAGGTCCCTTTGTCTAACTCTGCCCTACCCGCTCTTTCTAAAGGATAGGCCTTCTGACGAGCCAGAGCCCTGGGATGGGGGAGGCAGAGAAGAGGGGGATGCTATAGTTTAATGCAATGATTTTTCAACCATTTTGAGTATTAGAACTCTTTTTCATTTTTGTTTTCATTGATAATGGTAAAGAACTCCTTATGAGGAAATTTCCTTTACCAATGCAGATCAGTAGCTGCCTAGCAATCTATAGTTGTAGCTACCTGGGGCATTTAGAGGTTAAACTATTCTACTCAAAGGAATAAATCCCCAATAGTGGAATTATAAGCATCTGTGGATAGAGGTAATGTTTTTTAGAAGGAAGACTTGCTCAGCTAATTTTCCTTTCTATTTCAAGACAATAAAAGCCCCTAATTTTTAGCAGTGCTTTAAAGACTGCAAAGTGATTAACATGTATCAGCTCATTAGAGATGTTGTGTGTGAATACATAGAACTGAAGTTCAGAGATGTCATAAGTTCATTGATTTAGAGCTAAGAGGGACTTTAGAAGCCATCCAGTCCAGCCCTTTTATTTTTATTGATGGGGAAACTAAGGCACAGAGAGGTTAATGAGTATCTTGGGCAAGTCACATAGCTGGTGTCTGGAGTAGTTTTTGAACCTAGGACTTTCTTACTACAAGTCCAATCAATCCTCTGCCTACTCTTCCAAACTACTTCTAAGGTTAAATGACTTAACACAGCTTTGCACAGCTAGCAAGTATCTCACAGGTAGGATTTGAATCCAGGACTTAAGCATGGCAAGTCTAAAATTCTGTCACTACACCACATTGATTCTACATGCAAAGCTGCCAGTCCTGTCCAGGTATAGGCTGCTGCTGCTGCTGCTGCTACTGCTGTTTGTCCTTCCTTCTTGTAGAAGACCATGATATCAGGGAGGTGGTGCCATGATATGCAAGTGAATTGGATTTAAGTGAGGGAGGGCTGTGCAAAGTCACCAGCCTTACTTTCTCCTCTGGAGCCATTTGGGTCCAGGGGCCAGATATAGATCAGAATGACTGGAGATGGCCCAGGATGCAGTGGGAGATCTCTGCCTTTCCAAACAAAGGGTATACCCTAGCCTAGAGCATAGGAAAAGGCACATTTACAAGTACTTTCTGATACTTGTTGGTACTTTCGGGGAGGGAGGCAAATATCCCTTCTTCCTTTCCCCAGCAATGTTTTGTTCGACCCCCATAGACTAGTAATATAGAAACAAGCATTTCCATGAAATGAAACTTTTACTCATTTTGGATTGTGGGTCTGTGATAGGACCTAACTTGAAGAATTTCATTTTTAGAGATGTTATATATCAACCTCAGCCTGGGAGTCAGTTGGTTGCTTGTGCTAAATGTCAACCATTCAATTCATACTCTGACATGGGTTTTTTCACTTCTTTATTTTATAGCTATCTTCAAAATCCTTTTCTGCTTATGGTCAAATTAAATTTCCTTAGCAATGAAGGGGCTGCTACAATCTGTGCGCAATAAGATGATAGAACCTTAATTGAGAGTAAGCTGAAAGCTAAAGACAATGAAGTGTATGATAGTTGCTCAGTCATTTTTTCAGTTGTATCAGAGTCTTGTTGACCCCATTTGGGGTTTTCTTGGCAAAGATACTGGAGTGATTTGCTATTTCCTTCTCCAGTTCATTTTACAGATAAGGAAACTGAGGCAAACAGGGTTAAGTGACTAGCCCAGGGTCACACAGCTAGTAAATGTCTGAGGCCAGATTTGAACTCATGAAGTGAAGTCTTTCTGACTCCAGGTCTTGGCAGTCTATACACTGAGTCATGTGGCTGCCCCCATGAAGTGTAAAGTATGATAACAACAACAACAAAAACCAAGCAAACAGACAAACAATGATAATACCTTCAAGTTCAAAGTGCAGTTAGTAGAGAGAGTGGTCTAGAAATCACAGTGTCAGAGCTGGAAGGGCCTTCGTGATATTTCCACCCAGACTTCTCATTTCATAGAGGAGGAGACTGAGGCCTGGAGAATCGAACCATCTGTCCAAGGTTACACAATTGATTAATGGGAAAATTGGGACTTCAGTGGAAAAGAGGGAGAAGGAGGGAGGAGGGGACCACCTCATTCCTAAGTGTTCTTTCTAACTTAAATTTTCTTTCTCTGCCACACACCTAAAAGGGGAAAAAAACCACTGCTTTATAATAGGCCAAAAGAGATCAAAGAGGGGTCCCCTTTAGCTCATTGTTGGGAGGTGGTTGGTGATTTCAAAATCGTTCTTTCCACAGAAGTAGAGTGTATGACTCAGAGATTGCCAGAAGAGGACTGGAGCCTCTCAGAAGCTCACTTCAGAAGAGCAAAAGGTGAGGTTAAACTGCTTTGGTACCATTTATCATTTCCTCCAGGCAAACCATTATTTCAGAGAACCCCCCCAAAGGGGAAACAAAGAACAGAAATTACATGCATTTTGTACTGGTTTTGGTCTGACTGTTTCAAGCTGCATGTAAATCCTCCATTTGCCCTTTCTCTAAAATAAATGTACTTGTCAACAGAAGGTCACATAAATTCTTCCCCTCCACTCCACCCTCATTCCTTTGAGGTATGAGGGACAAATGCATGCCTTTACCCTGAGAACCCTTTTAAACAAGCCTGTAGACTTCCATTGCTTACAGAAACTAATTTAATTCAGAATGAGGAAACAAGTGTGAGTTTAGACTTCTCACATTAAATACCAAAGCTCTTGCAAATGCTTGAAGAAAAGATGACCCAAGGCACCAGCAGGAAAAGTTTTGGGTCTCAGTTTCCTGCAGACTCTGCGTATGATAAATGTATGAAAATGATTCCAAGGTTTTATATTCTGCTTAGTGCTGAGTTCTTTGGCTGCAGCAACCCATGAAGCAAAGAAAAAAACAAAATGGCCCTTGGGACAGGGCGGCCCCCTTTTTGCTTTTGTAGTGACATTAGCAGAATGGAGGAAAAGGGGAGCAGAGAGTACTAAGTACTAAGTACTGATTTTTAGAGCAGCTGTGTTCTGATGATAGCTTGGCATCGGTGGGTGACAAATTAGACTGCAAACCTGACAAGTGTATTATTGACCTCTGGTATATGAAAGGAGATTTCCTCCCAGGTATAGTAGCTTCTTTTTCAAGCTTGAAAGATTCAACATATATTTAGGGTCAGATGTTAAATATTGTGTTTCTAATATTATGTGGGTACTTGGAAATACGTTTGGCTGACCTTGGATCCTACACTTTGTATTAGATGTAGAGTCTTGTGAATGTAAATCCATTTGGTGATAGGCCCAGATTCCTTTATTTCTTTTTCTTGGGTGAGAACCACAGCTTACCAGTGGAGGAAAAGTAAAAATAAACAAACAAAAACCACTTGAACAACCACATTAGAGCTGATTATTGGGGGTTTTATATTTATATATATATATATATATACATATATATACACATACATATAGATATATGTATATACATATGTATATATATATGTATATATGTATATATATACATGTTTATATATATGTTTATATGTATATACAAATATGTATTTATATATATATTTAATTGTGAAGGTCAAGGTTCAGGTGTATCCTAATTGGGAAAAGAAGAGTGAGAATTCAGCCTTTTAAGAGACCCGGAGCTCACATATTTCCGAGGTGAGACACTTGCCTTTTTTTTGTTTATTCCAGCCAACTGCACCAATTTGTGTTCCTAAGCCTAAGGCAAGGGTGTGACAATTTTTCCCTTGGTGAATTTGTGTTCTACCAAATGTTGACACACCCATAAGCAGTTTTGGAAAACAGATCTTTATTTAATTGGAATTGATTAACTGTTGCCTTGCACTGCTTTAATACCATGGCCCCATTCTAGTGTTCTCCCACAGAAGTGTTGGAACTCAAGTATCCTTTTTGTTGTTTTTCAGCTGTGTTTGGCTCCTCGTGACCCCATTTGGGGTTTTCTTGGCAAAGATGCTGGAGTGGTTTGCCATTTCCTTCTCCAGATCATTGTGCAGATGAGGAGCTAAGGTAAAGAGGGGTAAGTGACCTGCTCAGAGTCACACGGCCAGTATGTGTCTGAGGCCAGATTGGAACTCATGAAGATGAGTTTTCTTGATGCCAAGCTTAGTGCTCTGTCCACTGTACCACCTAGATGTCCTCCATGTTTCCTACACTGGAACAAAAACATAGAATCTAATAGCTGTCAGGCTATTAGAGTGGAAAAAGTTTAAGAAGCCCTGGTCTAGGCGACCAGGTGTGAATGCTTCTAGCCTACCTACCAATGCTACCGTAAAAATAAGGTATTCATGTTAATGGACTGAAGAAAGCTTGTTATCTTGCTATACTCAGGCACCCTTTCTAGCTGCAGTGGGTGTGAACCATTTCTTTATGGGGACTCTCTACTACCACTGTTGAACAGTGGGGGCTTTGAAAAGCTTTTATTTGCAATCATGTGGAATTATAATAAAGATCCCTCAGGTCAAATATTAACAAGATGTCTTGTTTTTGTCATTGGTAGTTGTGGCACCCATCACAAAACCCCTAAGTAAAATAAACAGGTATAGAATTTCAAAAGCATTATCCCAGGCAAAATATTTTCTTTCTGCTGAATGCATTTCCATGGTACCTCTCAAAGCAGTTAGGTGCTTTTCTTAAAAGCTTTTCTAGGGATTGCCTTGTGCAAATACAAACATTAAAACAGAAGAGATTAAATCTTCCAAAGTCTCAGGCACATGCATACTCACTTCACATCTCAAGAACTGAATGCTGATGTTAAGTCATACTCTTCTTACCAGCCCACACTATTCAACAGTATGAGGCAGGTGGCTTGACAGCCATTCTAGGTTATGCCTTATCTCCGATTCCACTCACAGCAAACTGAAGTCCAAACAAAAGGTAAAAGACAATCACAAGAAAACTTGCAGACAGTCCCATAAATTGAATGGATTCAGGAGACACAGAGCCCACATTTTCTTCTGTTATCTATTTGTTTTGTGCTCTAGTATTAGACTTTTTTCCTCTATACTTTTGAAGCAGCTAATATTGATAGTTTCTTTCTCTTAGGAAGGTTTTGGGATAATAACAAGGACCTATATAGAGAGAGAGCATGAGAGTTACAAAGTGTTCTACATTATCTCATTTAATCCTCCCCAGAATTCCTCTATCTATCGTCAGGATGCTAAGCCCCTCCAATCATGCCTTGCAGTAAAGGGACTGTCTTGGAAAAGAGCTTTCAGGAATGTGGTTTTCACTGATAATGAGGCAGGAATGCTTCACTGAACAACTCTCCAGTGGCTTGGCATGTGCCTGGACCTCAGACATCATGACCTTTTTGGAGGATATTAAGACCTCCTTGGAGATGCACAGGTCCGTATAGATACATCTTGTTCTTTATCATGTGAGGACAGGTAGCATGCCAACCATGTAGACATGCTGACACAAATGAAAGACAGAGATCCATAAGCCTGAGACACAATAATTGAACAAATTGTGGTATATGATTGTGGTGGGATACTACTGTGCCATAAGAAATGATGAGCTTGATGAGCTTTGAAAAACATGGATAGACTTGTACGAAATATTGAAGAGTGAAATGAGCAGAACCAAGAAAAGGTTGTATATAGTAACAGCAATATTGTTTTATAAACAACTTTGAACAAATAAGTCATTTTGACTATTATAAATTAACTACAAAGGACCGCCCTGTGAAGGAAGATGCTATCAGCATCCAGAGAAAGAATTGATAAATAGAAGTATGCATAGAATTATTTTACTTGTGTGTGTGTGTGTGTGTGTGTATGTGTGTGTGTGTATTTGTGTCTCTAAGTTGCCATCTCTAGGAGGGGAGGAGAAGGAAGAAAAAAAAATTGCATGATAACTTTATTATATATTTAAAAGGAATAGCAAGTTGTATATAATAGATTTGCAATTTCATGTGCAATCATCTTTTTTATTATACTATGTTATGGAAATGCTTCTTTTATTCCATAATTTAAAAAAGAAAATGAAATAAAATTGTGCTGCCTCGTTATAATGAAGGTCCAACTACCCCCTCTACCCTAGCCCTTGATTGATTAATTTATTCTTTTGGTTAGGAACTGAGAGAGTCAGCATGGTACATCGGAATCAACAATGGATTAGGAGTCCGTGGATCAGGGTTCAGATCCCACCTCTGTCACTTACTATATGACCTTGTATAAGTCACCATTATCAGAGCCTTAGTTTCCTCATTTGTAAAATGGGGAAGTTAGATGGTCTCTAAGGTTCGTCCAGTTCTACGCTACAGTTCTATGACTTAAAAACAACAATACCATCAATGGCTGCATTGCATTCTTTTACTTAGATGAGCTGATTGAATTTAGCCCCCTGTACAGGTATGATGGCAGCTGGTACTCTCTTCCCTATTGTGTTCCTTGCTGGGTTCATACTCTGGACATAGGCCGTGCAAGTTTGATTATGCCCATTACACATATGAAGTAACAAGGACTAAGAAGTGGTTACTTTCCTGAGGTGGCAAATTGGGTAGCAGAGAATCTAACTCAGGTATTCTGGTGCCATTTTCACTGTACTAAGCTCTCAAGGATGTTGACCTTGTAGCAAATAGCACTTAACAAGCCCATAAAGCATACAAATTTTCTGAAGCAAAAGAACACAGCATAAATAAAATACACACTAAGCCAACACAGCCATATAATACAATGGAAGGAAAGGAAAACAGTGTGAGGAATTTTAATAACCTACATTTTCAGAACACTTACCAATTCCAAAGTGGTTTTGCTTTGGTCTGGTCATTTTAGGAGAAACTTTATGGAGCAACAGTGCTTGGGAGAAGCTGGCATTAGGAAGCTAATTCTATTTGTTGATCTCTTCCCCCCTACACACACACACACACACACACACACACACATACACACACACACACAATTTAACACCTGCTTTTACTGTTCACCAGTTCATCTAGGGGACACCTGAGTGGTCTGATATGACCAAGTACAAACTGCAACATGGCTAGAGTTTAGGATTGAGTGTAAGTAGCTTATTTATTATTAAGCTTATTTCAACTTCTTATATTAGCTTTTCAATTTTTACCATTTTTACCCAAGTACGTATCAAACATTCAAAGCTCTCTGTTTCAATTCCTGCTATTCAGAAAGGTTCTAATATTCTCCTGATACAGCTCACTTTACTCACCATCAGTTCATACAAATCTCCCAAGATTTCTCTGAAACCTTCCCCTTCATCGTTTCTTACAGTATAATGATAGTATTACTTGACACTTCCCTGAAAACATAGGGGTTCATTCAGAATTTCCCAAACTCAAATGTTACATATATGTATATATAGTTTATGTATAATAATAATATAACAGGTGAGGCAGCTAAGTAGTGCAGTGATAGAACAATAAGCCCGGAGTCAGGAAGAGCTGAACTCAAATATGACCCCAGACACTTACTATCTGTATGATCTGGACAAGTCACTTAACCTTGTTTGCCTCAGTTTCCTCAACTATAAAATGGGAATAATAACAGACCCACATCTTAGGGTTTTGAAGATCAAATGAGATAATACTTATAAAGCACTTAGCAAAGGGCCTGGTACATAGTCTCACCATAGCCATGTGTAGCACTCAAAATAAATATGAAATTTATTCAATGTGGGAAACTCCCTATATGGAAACTCATTCCACCAATGAAGATCAGGGGATTTCTGTGACTTCGTTATCTTGTGGAGATGCACAGAGAGGTTATATGACTTGTCCAGGGTCACACAGTTAGGGAGTATCAGAGTTAAGATTTGAGCACAGGTTTTCCTGTTTTTAAGGGAAGCATACTATCCATTATGCCACACTACCTCTATATGTACAATAATATGATCATTAGGTATTATTTCTTAGACCCAGAATGTAGGCACTCCCTAAATCCTCTTCTAGGGTTTAATGATTTCCTCTGATTAAAAGAAATTAACAAAACAATGTGACTTTATCCTACTCGGCACACAGCTTAATTCTACTTTCAGGCAGTCACTTGGAATTTAAAGACAAGAGTTGAAGATCTTCCTGCACCCCTTGAGGTCCTTTAACTTTGGTATAATATGGTTCAAATTATTTTCTTGACCTTCAGGTAGCCCACTCAGAGACTAATGACAGGCTAATTACAGACATCTTCACTTCATAGAACACCAAGCCACTGAGACTTCAACATTAGATGTGAGCTAGGACCATTTGCTGTAGTCTGGATGAGGTTCTCTGACTGCTGGTGGCCTCCATAGGCGATTTGAAAACCAATGAGGGTGCACATGACTTTCTAAGGCTGTGCTCCAGTTGATTAGTGGGTTTCTTAGCACTTATCTGTTGACAAGAGGGGCGGATAGTTGCAATTACAAGTGTAGTTTGAAATAGCTCCAGGTTTTTTCTCCCCACTGGCCCTACAGAATGCAACCTCCATGATGTGCATAACAGAACCATTATTTTCCACTCTGTTTTATAATTTCTTTTAAAACACACAGAGAGACAAACAAACCATTAGCCCATTCAAATGTGGCTTTGGATAGAAATAGCAATGGACGCTTAATCCTTATCAGCCAGCCAGCCAGAAAAGCATCTATTGAAGAGGGCATAGTGATTTATTTTTATTAGATCAGAAAGAGAGAATCAATAGGTGGAA